CCATTCGTTTCTTGTGACGCTCGTTGGTTGTGACCAAGACTTGAGCGCGCCATGGTGACGTTGATGGCTCTATAACTCCATCACGCAACAGGGTATTTATTTCCTTGCGAATAAAAAGTTGATCAGGAAAAGACTGACGTCTGGTTTTTGTCGCGACAGGTTTACAAATCGGTGATAGATTCTGGAACAAAGTCGGTTCAGGAACTTTAGCAGCTTTCAAATTGCAAAGTGAGACAGGTGGTCGGGAACCGCCGAATGGTATTTCTAATTCCTCGTGCACGTTGAGGAAGTTGTGACCGAGCAACACATCAGCACATAGATGCGGCAGAACGGATAGCCTGACATTTTTGTAATCGAAGTCGTTTAGCTGTAGGTGCACCAGACAATGTCCAGGGGTATCACTCACAAAAGATGTGTTAGCCATAGAGATTTTGCTTCTTGATTCAAGTACTCGTCAGCTTTACTTATTGACGACTGATGCTGAGATATAACTCTCAGAACTACCAGTATCGACTAGGGCTTGGAGACGGACACCGTTAACATGAACATGGCCAATCGCTCGTTGTAGGCATACGGGAGCAGACGCAACAGTGAGCGCCGACAACAAAGATTGAGTAGTCGCCGTCTGTGGCTTGATTTTCTGTTTGGAACGACAAACTGACTGAAAGTGACCCTTTTTACCACACAGCTTGCATATGGCATCTCTGGCGGGACAGGCTGTTCGCGGATGTCGGCTATAGCCACAAAAGAAACATTTATTAGTTACCGCAGAAACCAGGATTGTATCTTCTGACTGGGCTGTATCTTGAATTAAGCCACTTTGTGGAGCAGCGTTGCAAGGGTTGGATGAGATGGGTACTTGATACGACAATGCCTGTTTGTATGCCGATTCTAATGCTTTAGATTTTTCTACGGTTTCACGTAGCGTCAACGTATGGTGCTCCAACAACCTCTGGCGGATTTGAGTAGACTGAATGCCCGATATAAATGCGTCCCTGATAGCTTCGTCACGACGTACATCGCCTATCACACTTTGATAATTACAATCAACAGCTAACGTCCGTAACTTTTGCACATACTGATCGAGTGTTTGCTCATTGTCTTGTTTGCATGTGTGAAGAACGTGTCGAGCGAAAATTTCGCTTTTGGTGGGGGCATAGATTGAACAAAGAGTATCGACAGCTTCTTTGAAAGTGGTGCACTCAGAAACGGATTTATAGACAGAAGGAGAAAGATAATTGATCAAAAGTTCCAGTTTGTCCGGATTATGCGTCTCAATACAAGATAAAAAATGGGAGAATGTACGATACCAGTGAGTCCATTGGTCGGTTGCATCAGGAGCGTATGGATCCGCATCAAATCTGGCTGGTTGAGCAAAGCGTTCCACGGATGAGAAATAATATGTTGAATAAATTGTAGTGGGAGTCGATGACCTGAGTAAACTGACCGCCATTATATCATATTTTGGCACGCACTCAGTCATGCTTCTAGTCGTGCAGTCTCTGAACCCGCAGTCCAAGAAGAAGGGTTAGAGGTTGTGGAAAACCTTTACATACGTCGATAGCCGCATTAGCTCCGATAGCAGTGTTTGAAGTCTGTACCTTCAGTAAGGACTATGTTGTGCTTTTGCGGGACGTGACCTCTGCGGACAAACGATCTAGGGGTCTTCGACTTTCTGACCGCCGGTATTCCAGAAGCGTTTCTGGTATCGAATTGTGTCAACGAATTCGTAGCTAGGTAATTAGAAAACGTATTTGTTGTGCAGGAGGTGTTTCGGTCGTATAAAACATCCAGTAACTTCAACGGGGGCGGCTCGGCCATATGCTAGCCATGTCTAAAGATCGTCTTCCGAGGCATGTACTGTATCTGCTTCAGAATTGGGCAAACCGCGAGATGGGCAACCTGTGACTTATAAAAGGGTGAAAGATATTGTGGGGAGTTTGGGTGTCTTTTGTGCGGTCCGCCTTACAGAATGGGGTCCTTGAGGTTGGGTTCAAAACACGGACATCCCGGTCAGTAAGTTCGCATCTTAACCGCTGAGCATGTTCACCATCACCTAGCCTCTGTATCAGGTGTACTTTGGTGGGCTCATTCAGGGCAGCTGCATCAACTAGAAAAATGTATTCATAGCTCTAATACCAGGACGGAAATGTCACACCATTATCCGAGTCGAAAATTTAGTATTAGTATGTTACTGAGGAAAAGAGCTTCCCGGTACGCTGAATCATTTTCCGCTGCTGTTCATGCTGATTTTGTTGTTGTTATATTTACCTTTTTTGTTCCAGTTCCAGTATTATTGTTTAATTCCATCGTGTCGAGGCATTACATCGCCTCGTATGAGTAAGGAGAACGTGAGTGTTTAGGCCTTCAGTCTACCATGTAATAACTGCCTAGATGGCACAGGATGGGTGACCAAAGGCGAAACAGCCAACATCGAACTGTTTATTCAGTAAAAACTCGCTCACATGAATGGTTTATTTATTGCTTAGTACAGTCTAGAGACTGGTTGTTTTATATTTAACAGATTGCTTGAACTTCTCTTACTGATGCGTGCGAATACAACCCTGTCTAGGACCGCACTGTGAAGGGGCTTACGAGGACTTTATGCCTTTGAACCAAAAGATCCTCAGCATACATAGTCTGAACGTTGTCCTTCAACCATTCTTATATTGCTTTCTCATGGTGCTCTGGCTTTAGCATATTTTCAACCTGGGGTCCGTAACACAACCTTTTAATGGAACACGATGGCTTTGGATCCAGGTTGACTTCGACGCCGTATGAAAAGACTTTTCGAGATGCCTCGGGTCGTTCAACCTTCAGACCGTCCAATCTTTACGAATCATTCGATACTGGCTATCACACCGGTGCGCCATCCTGTTCCACCCAATCTTTTCTCGAATTCGGTATCGCCGATGATGTTTCTATGCTCCCTAAAAGACCATCGTAAGTACCTTGTTTTCTCCGATTACCAGGACCAATTCACCTTGCTAGGTACCGTGGGGTAAGACGCGTTGATATTATCGCAGCCCTACTCGACTTCGATCGTACAAATTACCTGGTGGAACGTATTGTAAGCTACTTACCGTTTTGCGATCGTATCACAATGTTGGCGGTGTCAACCCGGTGGAAGTCTCTTCAATCAGTCCTGCCACATTGCTTTAAAAAAGAGCTGTTATTTTCAAGTGACCCGAATGAGAAAGAGAACTATAAGTTGTTCCACTGCAGGCACCTCATGAACCAACGTATTCCGCTGTCGGGCCTAAATTCAATGAATCTTCCTCGCCGCACAGTGAAGTCTCTAATCACCAATGAAAATCTGGTACGTTTACAAGCCTACTCTTACGCAAAAAATATTGTGCAATAACCTCGATGAACGCAGCCACACTTCTATGTGTGCTTCCTATTGAACGTCTGGAAATGAACACTACAGAATCCCATTCAATGTACGGTCGATTTCCGTTATCAATTGAATTTCGGGCAGTTATTTACTGCTTGCCTGTGTATGTTAAATCGCGAGCTCAATATGAGCACACTTCAGTCATAAATTTACAGAGCTTTTGCTCAGGGCGTGACGTACTAACCGGAAGGTGGGTATTTTGGAACATCCATGATTTTCTTCCGTTCCTGTCTCACCGTTGGAATAGCTCAATGGTCAAGGTGCCAGCTTGCGGACCAGAGGGTCGTGGTTCGACCCCGACTGCTCCTGTCTAGGCTTGGGCAACTTGGCAGTCAATCTATCAGCCGTAAACCGTGTACTATATGTACAATGGTTCTAGCTGCTATAGTTTCGATCACTGGAAAGTGAGAGAGTGTGGGACATACAGCCAAACCTTGGGGGCGGTGGCATGTTTGGTTAGTTCGGGAATTTGGTCGCTACACATTGAAGGCGATAACTCTGATGCATGAGCACCACTGACTGCGCGATTGGACCACTTCTCCCAGCGTTATTAACCATTGGTGAGTTGGGTCCCGGGGTCCCCATCGAGGGAGGCGGAGGTCTTCGCCCACCGGCCTTCTTCAACCTGGTAGTATCCCAGCCCTTGTACCTCCCTCCGTTGGTACAGCAGCTAGGCACCTAAAGGGTTCTACAGCAGAGTGATCTTTTCTTTCATTATTAGTACTGTATTTCTCTTTTTCTCCATCCGGGTTGTATGCCAGCTATGCAAAATTAAACGAATTGACCGACTCGATGACGTAACCGAATCGTGTCTTCGTTTTCACTTGTTGGAGAGGGGAACCCCATCTTTCTAGACTGTTACTACGAAGCACAGTACAACCCTATTGGAACATACTCACTGAGATCAGAAGAAGGTTGGTGGGATGCGCTCCAGCTACCCTCGGCCTTCATACAAATGTTGGGAATCAGTCTGTGACGAAGCCATCCACAATCAGGAATCAACAAAAACTTGTTTGCCTGTACTCCGATTTAAAACGTAATTTTTTGCTACATAAGTGCGGAAATTCGGCACAGTCTAGGTGAGCGGCCGCATACTGGTGTACTATGACAGATGGAGTTTCTGTACGAACTTCAAAGACCAGATGTGCATTGGCAAACTCTTGGCATTTGTGGCCTTGTGAAGAGTTGAATGTATCAAGCTACAGTACGTGCTGTGTTATCATGCGATTGCGAGACTTGGTCTTTGAAAACGCAGGAGCTGAAGCTTCTTCGGGTACTTGACTATCAGAACTCTGGCTGCAGTAGGCTACCATAAGCGAGTTCGCAACTAAACGATTGGCAAACGAATACTTGGTGGGGTATCCGGTACTTGTACAATGTATTCAGCACCACACATGGTGGTGATCCGGCCATATGCTACAAATGTCGGATCAGTGTGTACCGAGGCGAGCTTTTTTCTGGGCCGAATTCGTCAGTTGGCAGAGTATGACGTGGGATGGAGAACTAAAGTAGGTTGTAAACAGTTCGCGTGCGTTTTTCCGGAATCCTCTCTGTTCTTGGCTGGAGACAGTGCAAGATTTGGCTGCTAACCGGTGATGTTTGTGTCCTGTCCGGATTGGATAAATCCTTCGAGGAGTATGTACCTCTGATGTCTGTGATGGACCACTACTGGCCTCCTTGCCACTTTAGCAGTATCATCATCATCATCAACTGCACTGAAGCTTCACTGCTGTACGATCACAATCTATTTAAAATCCTTATTTTGAAGAAAGGAATAAAAGTAAATGGGACAGGGACTTAGCGCTAGCCTCCCGCAATTGTTCCGAGGTACCCACACTTCAGACACTCATTCAGACAATCTGGGTAGAAACTGACAACAAGGACGTCACTGACATCCAATAGGCGCCGTATCTTGCAGCGTCTCCTACCATTCACAGTGGAGATCACACGGGCCGCATGCTGGGAGGTGAGTCGGACAGTGAGTACCCAGACTTTTCGTAATCGCTTCCACCCCCTCCGCTAGGTCGAGGGTTTACCACCTCTCTGCTTCCTCCACTCTGAATTGGGCAGGAAAAGCTGCACTCCTCTCGGCAAACGATGATTGTGCATGCACAATATATGACCAAAATACCACAACTTTTTTGCTGGACACGTTTTTCGATTAAAGTTCGTGTTTGTGTTTTCTAGTCTCTTATCATTGCAGATTCTCGGGCACTGGCTTGAATGAGATACTAAGACAACGGTTGTCGAAAACCTGAAGGCGTTTCATTTCGGCTGCAGACAGAGGCCACGTCTCGTAATCATACGACAAAACAGCTGGTGCTTTAGCCTGATACTTAGGCCTCCTGTTTGTCCTTCCCTTGGTCTAGGTAAACTAGCATGGCTGTGCGGACGTCAGTCCTCACACTGCTATCAATGATGTCTGTGTTGCCTACGCATGATGCGGAACAAATCACTACGTCCATAGTTGAGATGTCCATATTCCTGATTACGAGATCTTTCTGTATTACTTTCTTGTGGAGCTGTGCCGCAAATAATACGTCTTCAACGTTGTCAGGTGTGGCTTCTTTGTTTAGTAGTCTTCCCTTTTCCGGACGAGAATCTCCAGAATGTGAACATTGCCTAGTCGGAAGCACATCAAGGACAACTGTTCCATTAGTTTCTCCTTCTGTGATAGCTTCACGAGTAGGAACAGATTGTTCACCTTTGTCTTCTCAAGTTTCTATCCAAGGTCAGCTAAATCACCCGCCTAAAGTGCAAATTCACAAAGCTTCTGTTATCATTGCATTTCTGGGGAAATGCATCCCTACCAAACGTAATTCAGGCAATTTCCTAAAACATTACTTCGGAGCAGGGTTAAACCAATTGCATATAATCTGAAACGGATTGCGGAATCACATCTCCAGGTGCTAGAAAAGGATATCACAGACCTACCTGTTCGTTGTCCACTCCTTAATCTAGCGCTGTTGAGTCTCTGCCAGATCAAATTCTACAAACACAGCGAATCAGTTGTGCGCAAAACTGAACTGATGACAAAAGGCTTTAAATTCATTTCCTCGGAGAAAATCACGTCAAATTTAGCATAAAAGCTTGATAAGTTTACTGTCAATATTTCTGGCGTAGCTGTGAGCGAATCTCAGAAAGAACCATTGTCTGTTAGGTTATAATTCTGTATACTACCAAATAAACGCTGACGCAGTTTGAGTACTTAAATGAAAAGACCAAACCGTTACAGTCTACAGCCACCGGCAGTGCCAGCTAGTTCAAATCAGGTCTGGTCAACCTGGCACATCAGTCTGAACAAATACCAATTGGGCAAGCTAAAGAGCCTGGCTCAGCTCGGTTAAACCGAGGGGATCAAGATGAGAAAGGGAAGCGAGTTTCTTGATCGACAGCATGCAGATTGACGCAGTAAAAAGAGTGGAACGCCAAGTCAGCAACCATCCTGAGAAATCTTATGTAATGGGTTTCATTGAACGCTTATCATCGACAGACTTCAACACGAAGCTTCTGCACCCAGCATCCGATACGTCCTGTGTCTGGATCTCCATACCATAAACTTGCCCAATGACTGTTAACAAAATTCAACCAATGAGATCCAGCATCTCAAAGATATCTTCCAGTTTGTGAATCTAGTACGGAGCATCGAGACCACAAACAAAGTAATGAATTTCTTTTAATGTTGGCTACCTTTCCTTAAAGGATCTATATGAGCGGTCGTGCAGTTGTACACAGCCATTGTGCGGTTTTCTTTCAACAGTGCGCACTATCGAGCTTTAAGCAGCTCAGTAGTTAAGATCCGAACTTACTGACTAGAAGGTTCGTGGTCCGAACCCAACCACTGCATCCCAGCAGGTCCTCCTTTCCGGCATGCAACACTTTTGTGAGCAGCGAAAGATGATTTTTTGTGCCATCAATTCAGGTAGTTTGCTAAACTGTGCATAGCTGCAATGCAACCCGGATAAAGAAAGAGGAGTGCCCGGTTTGCCCAAGCCTAGACAGGAGCGACAGAAGAAAATCATGGATGGTGGGTTTCCGATTGCACATCTTTCGGTCAGTGACTCGTCCCTTAATCAGTTAGTTATCTGAAACTGTGAATTCCTGATTGTCTTGTGCTTATGTTGAGCGTGAGATGTAATACACATAGACAAGTAGTCAATAATTGCCCGAAATTCCACTCCCCGCGGACATTCATCGTGCCTTGTATGAGATTCGATAGTGCTCATTTCCAACGCATGTCTGCTCTTAGGGGCTATGCTAGAAATTAGGCTTTGCCGATTACCTACCAAACCCAACTTTTTTGTCAGGTGATGGCAGTGTGCAGCACTGTCCTTTCTGAGAACGAACTGAGGACTTTTTCTGGGTTTTGTGAGTGTGGACATCCGTAACATCAGGCTGTTTTAGGCACTATTCCGTCGGTGGCCGGCATCCAGCCACAGTGAATTATTACATCAAATCGAATGTCGCTTCATTTTTCGATTGGATTGACGTCATCCATGCTGAACACTCGCTCTGTCCACCTCATTTTGCTTATACCACGGACGCGCCCCTTCCCACTTCCTTGTTGGTACAGACGCCGGAAGAGCTGCACATCTGTCCAGTCTGTTCCGGTCCTGCCTATCACCGTGCTTCGGAATGGCCCAATCGGCTTCATTGTCAATCGGTGACCTGTGGTCTTTCCGTATGCTTCGTGTGCCATCGTGAACATTCGCCAAGCGAAACCTGTCCGATTCGCGAACCCCGCCCCGTGCTCAGGTGAGCCCGTTGTTTTGTGAAAGTCCTCTCTCTCTCTCTCAGCTCACACGTAGTTGCCGCCTTGGTGCTACCTTTCCGGTGTATCATATGCCCATAAAAGTTCAAACACGTGATTACTCCATGGTACAGTGTTCGTGATACCCACAAGCGATAATTGTAGGTGTCCTACAAGTTTTATCACAAGCTGTTTTTCTGTTCCACTAAAAAGCAAGATGAACTTCCCATAGACGGATCGAAAACCGAAGCGGTTGGGACTGTCAGAACTTGAATGAAACACGGTGAAACGCGAGTTTTCGACAGAATCAGGACAAAATCCCCACCAGACACCGAAACAATGGGTCTAGTGTAGAGGCAGAGCATCAGTACCGTTCTGTTGATAAGGTGATTGGCTTTCTATGGAGGAAAATGTTGGTAGCTCAGGTGGGGTAGATGGTCGTTGGCTTCGACGAATGAGGACACAGAGCAACCAATGGATCCGCCCGACCGAACAACTAATCGCGGTCAAAGGTCATCCCCGGCTACCAGCACGTATATTAACACACACACGTAACACCGCTCAACGCACAACCACTAACCCACCGCTACGCACAACTACGCTCCCCAATAACGCACTGATGATGTCACCTCGATTGGTGAAGAAACGTCTGCAATCAAATTGTTCATCTCGGAGAGCAAGCCAACGACCAAGGTGATTGGCTGTTTTTATTTCTTCAGTCCGCATTGTGGCTCCAAATGGAATGAACACAACACTTGAGCTTGTAGCATTTGTATTTAGCGATGGATAAACCGTGGATAAAAGTAAAATATATGGGACATTATCCGCTGCTAGTTTTTAACACAGTACCCTTCTTTGTGGAGAGGTTAAGAGACTTTAGTACAACCGTGAGTTCGCAGCACCACCAACAATGCTTATTTAGCTGTAGCGATACGGTTCCATACTGTAATAGGCGCGGATAATGCTCGGTTCAAAAGAGTAGAAGTATCATGTACGTCCATACTGATGAAACAATACGTTTACAACCACCTGTAAAGCGCTCAGGCGGGGAATCGAACCGGTGTCAACGAAACGGAGTCTGTGATGCTATCAGCTGGGCTGCCTGGGCCCCGGATGAACCTCACTCCTCCATATGGAGACCACTCAGCCACACATAGAGGGCCTTTATGCGGAGGAAATGACTGCATCAACTTTTGAATGGTTGATGTTCATCCTAGGAGCCGTCCTTGCTAATTAGTGGCACAGCAGTACCAAGGGAGTTAATTTTTCAAAGGTTGATTGGAGAGGGTTGTCTCGTAGAGACATATACACCTTTGCCCCTTGTCTGATAGAAATTCTCTCTATATGTATTGCGTGGGACTATTCGTCTCCCATGATCCTTGTCCCTTCAATTATTGATCATGACGTTGGCTGGTCACTGGCTGCATCTTCTCTGTATTACAGTGATCTCTTTCGGGCTCAATTCTCTCTTCTCACCTAACTGACCTGCAGCTGACACATCACTTCTCATTCTAGCTTCTCAAACCCAAGTTCAAGCATTTCATTTTTGCATCTTCTTAACCCCCTGCGAAAAGACTGACTGCGCTGTTCTGAAGTAAGTAAATGCGTCGCTGTGGTTTCCTTAAGCATTCCGACCCTTCGTAATCACATGGGTGTCTCACACTGAGTGGAGATAGGTTCACTACCTATGGAAGAGGTAATAAAACTTCAACTGCAGCGCATAAAGTTCTTAGAGGGTATGAATCTCTTAGTGTCCGAGTGCACCGCATACTCGGGTCGAAGTAGGGTTATCCGCCTCCCGAGCAAATCCCTAGACTGGATAGGGAACGGTCCTCACCCAAGAGGGCAACAGACGTGAAGAAACAGCTTCCAGGGATTTTTTGCAACTTCTAACCTGGTCAGCTGGCTCTTCATAAAACGCCGTTTGTAGTACCAAAAATTGGTGTGACCAGTCTTCAAAATAAAGTCACTGATCCGAGTCAGAGGAAATCGTGTGAAGATCTCCGTCATGTGGGGTTTGTCGCAGAATCGACCGCCCAACTGATGAGCCTTTTCGCAAGATATTCAGTTCTCTAGCAGACGACACGAAGAAAGTTCGGGATTTCATTTCTGTCGCTACCAAACTAACCATGACGTTACGGTGTACATCGGCATAAATGGTCGTGGGGTTCATTGCGCGTCCTGAATGATTTACGACCATCCAAAAAGGGTGTGGACTACGACCAAGGTCACCGACTGCACAGTGAACTACGTATTTCAGACTACCATCTATGGGTATTGTCCAATTGAGGACGGCTTTTGGAGCATCTTAAGAAAACCGGAACACTCACTAGTAGTTTGTGAAAAGGAGGCTAGATGGCCCAAATGGTTAGAGCGCGAATTTACTGACCGGAAGGTCCGTGGTTCGAATCCGACCTCCGCCTCTCGACTTTCCCTGTCTAGGCTTGGGCAACCTGGTAGTATCCCAGCCCTCGTGCTTCCTTCGGGTGGCATGGCAGCTAGGTACCGGAAGGGTGCTAGAGCTGAACGCTTCTAGTTCGTGAAAAGTCCTTACTATTTTGATAGCTCAAAAGAGTATCAATCTCCATTAGCAAACTTAAGCAGGCTAGTGATGCTCCCTGTTCCGACCAGCCACCAGAACAAAATTGACTGTTGTTCCGCGGCATATAGTGGGAACTACCGGGGAAACAACCTCCACCGGTTTTCTGCACGTTCTTTCCAACTCTTTGACACACCGCCCTGAACCACTTGATAGGCAACAGGCCGGAGCATGCCGTCTCTTGAGGAGTGGACTTACGAAAGATATGTCGCGAGCTGTTGAAGATTGGCAGTCAGAACGCGTTTGGAAGGGGGATTCGTTGCAGCTCTCCGAAATTGGAGAAGGCTGTTGCAGTTCATTTGTGTCATAGGCACCAACCGGTTAAGTACTGGCACATTATCTGCGAGGTGGATGGCTCCTAGATGTGAGTCCTAGATGTAACAAATTTCGTAATGTCTGCATCAGTTTTTGTGGGATTAGCATGACTTCTTCTCAGAACATCCGTCAAGCCAGTAGAACTGACTGGTTTCCACTGGTGCCGTATTTGTGCTGCTTAAATCTTCGCCACGTGCTAGAACATCGCCAAACACCTCGGAAGCAGTCTTTCCATTCGTAGATGTTAGAGCGGCCTTTATTAATTCTGTCGCCCGGGATGTCCGATGGGAGTGTTTGTTAACAGACAACGTTCCGAGGAAGATGTTCATGCAGTCAAAGAACTAGTGCTCAAAGAAAGTCAGAGCAGAATTCAGACTTTCCCCCTCCAAGATGCACTGTGATAACAGCGCCTCACTGGTTTCAGAGGACACGGTAATCGATCCGCAGTTTGTATATGGTAATATGTTGATTGACTCTACCGTCCGGGAGATGCAATTTGTTTTAGGCCACCCGTCAGTTGTTATGGCAAGGGACGGGCTGTCCTTTGCTTTCAAAAAAGCAACACTCCCTCCAGGAACGGTGAAAAACTATGCGCGCTCTCATTTTGGACGGAGACAAGCTACGACTGGTCGCTTTTAAACCACTTCCTTTTCCTAGGAGGATGTATATCCCTCGGTGGAGATGAGATCTCGCGAAAAATTCATGATCTCGTATTCACCGATTAGCGCATCCAGGTTACTGAATTCGGAAAAACAGCTACGGTAGTTTCACGAAAGTAAATGTTTGAAAAGCATAGAGCAAGCTGGTCAGTTGTGTTTTTCGGAAGAAGTTGTTCATCTCGTTGCCTTCAATTCGTAGCTATCCGTTCCTGCCTCCCCAGACCATCGGCAAACGAAACTGTAGCAGCTAGAACAATTTTACTGCATGTACAACTGAGGATGATGGCCAAAACTATCCTAAACAGCTAAGAATGTCGGTCGACTACTTTCGTCATTGCATCGGCGCTCCCAACGTCGTTTAGCTGTACCTCATTCAATCACACAGCGGTCGATTGCGCTCTGTTTTATTGATAAATCAGCTGTTTTGGGTGTCACAGTCAGTCTGAGCGGTTCCAATTATCCCGTCTAACCAACCTGATACCAACACGAGGTGAAGTGATCCCGGGCGCGGTGATCTATACTCATCTAGCAGCGTAAATAAATAGTTGCTTAGATGACCACCAAAGTGCGCGATGGACCGCAGGTAAATGCCAGGGACTTCTATCGGGGCACTGAATTTCTTAGGAAACAGTCCGCTTAGTAGATTGTGCCTCATTACGTGATATTTTAACCCAAAATCTTCTGTGGTCTTAAAACGTTTGTTTTTAGTTGCGGAGGGGATGGGGGTAACCATCTGTTGATTCCACTATTAATATCTTTATTACCAACCAACCCCCCCAACTTTTAGAATGCCATCCCCTGAATCAGAACCTGTTCGTGGCCGTTTAAAGCGGAAGCTCAACAAACTGGCATTGCGACGGTTGTGAATGGAGACCATCGGATGCCTATCTACAATGTTTTCAACATTATTTGTATGCTCACATATATGGGATCCCTAGTTGTTTTATCTATTTTTATACTTATTGTTGTTTATATTTTCCATAGTTCTATGTTCTCTTGTCATTATTCGACATTTACAGTTAAATTATAGCTAGTGTTCTGTTTTCAAAAACCGCCCCTTTGGGATTGACGAGGTTTCTAGTGTCACTGCTACTCTGATCTCATTGACTCGGAGGAGGGTTAATCACTTGACTTAATCACAACTTGCCTAGTTGGGTGCATGTTGTTGCCCTGTGGCCGGTTCGTCATTTTGGAGTACGCTCGGACGGCACAGCGCTGGACAGTCGGGCCACACGACTACTGAGTGTTATTCGTCACTTGTACCCGTAACGACATCTTGCCTCACCTACTGGTAGCCACGTGAGAAACCGAAATTCAGATAGCTTGGTTTATCTTATACCAGTTAGCTGATTATGCCATCGCCTAGATTACTTGGCTATATCTCCCCCGTTCTACCGTTTTTCTGTAAGTGAAAGCATCGGGAGTCGACGTACCCTGTTATAGCTGATAAACTGAATTCACTGAGCTGCTTTTGTAACGATAAATCAGAGGCGTGATAAGACACCAATTTGAACCAGGCGACATCGGACAGAGAACGATTCCCAATGCAGCCGCTCGCTAGTGTATTACCACGCCGTTCCACCGCCAACTGTTTGGTGGAAGATGTTTAGAACCTACAGGAGGAATGATACGTCTGGCTGAGTCGGGAGCTCGAAGTCGCTCCCTTGTTTTTTTCGTTTGATGGGAAGCTCAATTGTTAGTCCCTGAAGACTGCCGGTTCCTGACTCATCCAGACGAAGTAACGCCTATACCATCTGGCCACAGTAGAATAAGGTCGCATCTAACTGTTCACCACAAAGTGTTTTATTCAGTCCTACTTTCTACGCATGTGACATGCTCCGAGCTACCGAAATGACAGGCGCTGAGTCGCTCCACAAGCGTTTGTACTATGTGCTTTTTAAATTCATTTTTCGATTTTAACAACTACATTTTGTCATTGGTGCGTTATGGACTCCAGCATACTGCTCGATTTTGGCAGAGATCATGGAACCCAGTACTAAGTAAACAAGTGTGAGCGCCACAATCGGCAGCTGGAGTACCAATGGTTAGCCAGGAATGTTTGGGTTCAGTTCTATCCCCGAGGTCAAACTTCTGAGGGGACAGATTTTACTGAATACTGAGACTCAGGTGGGTTCTACCTTTTTTGTTTAGAAGCCATAAAACAAGGACAATGCGCGTCAGAGATTTTAGTGTATGTTAATGAATCAATACTCTGATATGACGTAGCGGGTAGAGCTGAGTCGGGGCGAGGTTGTACTGTTGCCTTGAATCGTTCAGCTGTAACACCTTTCCGGTGCCTAACTGCCATGCTACCCGAAGGAAGCACGAGGGCTGGGATACTGCCAGGTCGCCCAGGCCTAGACAGGGGAAGTCGAGAGGCAGAGGTCGGGTTAGAACCACGGACCTTCTGGTCAGCAAATTTATGCTCTAACCACTTGAGCGATCTCGCCCCTGTTGCCTTGAACCGGCTGAGCGACATGGAGCAGCTCAGTCCCCCCACAAGATACGATAGTGGCCTGAAATTTGTGCACATCTGGTAGACGATCGCCGTGTTGAAGGTATGTATATGCACCCTGTGGCCTATAATCCTGTTTCTTGTCCGGAAGTAGTGTAGGTATGTAAGTATTCCAGGCGTTGTTATTCTACTCTACCGGTTACGTGCTTTGAATGGCGAATTTCTTCTTGTGGGTCTACTGGACTGGACCTAGACCTTGCCGATATTTGAACTAAAGTCATTCGAGATTTCATCCTGCCAGCCTATGCTGAAACGTCGAGGAGCACTGTGAAGCCGTCTCATCCTTGTTTTGGAATCATCAGCACAGCGCATCTGACAAAACTCAGAGAGTTTCCAACCTGGTACTTTCCGGTCAGTGGTTGAACACTTAACCGTTCGGCCACGAGCAGTGTGATTTGCTCGCACTTGCGATAGCATTACTCTTGCACTACACGCCCTCTGAACTTGTCTCCAGACAAGCGGATACGTTCACACTTGGGTGATATGTGATGTTAACCCGATGAGACGGCTGGTAGCCCCGTTTAACGTTGATTACTAAACTGTGGGGTTCTCTTCTTCGGATGGGTTACTAATCAAATTAACAGATCTTCAGAAGAACAAGTGGTATTTTTATAAGGCTCAGGCCGGCCGTAACATATCCCCAAAGCACGCTCTTTTGAACCGACCGCCACACAAAAAACAACTGGGTTGGCTTTATTACGAATCAAGTGTACAGATTCAGTTGGTGGAATCGGTGTGGTAATGCTGCCATTTGACTGAGTGGTGTTTTGGTCATACCCACCCGATGGAAACGTTCAAAACACTATCCCCAGCGATCAGAAACATGAGGAAGACGAACGGAATTTCTTGCTCTAGTTCACTTATTTTCCCTGGCCCACGTTACTGAATTTCGCCGAAAAAACCGATTTTGTGCCATGCCACCCGAAGGGAGTATGACCCGCAAGATAACATCACGTTGCCCAAACCTCCATAGTTGAGTTCGAACAGCGAGCTGAACGGTCAGTAAGTCGGAGATTCAAGCGCTGAGCTATCCCGTGCTCTACCCACCATGTGTCCAAATTTTGTGGTCATTTCAGCATGAAATACCTATTAGATGTCGTGAATAATAAGATAGGTAATCATTCAGCTGCAACACGCCTTCGGTGCCTAACTGCCATGCAACCCGGAGGGAGCACGAGGGCTGGGGTACTGCCAGGTTGCCCAGGCCTAGACAGGGGAAGTCGAGTGGCAAAGGTCGGCTTCGAACCTTATGGTCAGTAAATTCGCGCTCTAACCACTTGGGCCATCTCGCCCCATATGGACGTGTCGTAGACGTTGCATAGTCATCGAGCTTCGCCCTACTCGCATTACGTGGTGAGATAACAAAATAATACACAAAAAAACGAGAGAATAACTGAGGTTTTCGGCGACTATGAAGCCATACAAAATAGCCATTTCCTAACCAGTGTGTCAGAAAGGATGTACGTTGATTGGACGGAGTTTTTCGCGGTTGTGCAATCATTTTCACCCATAAAGTACGAGCAAGCTCAAGAGTTGCGTGGACCTCAAGCAATCAGAACAAAAATTAAGGAGTCAACCGACAGAACTAACCAGTCAATCACAGTCAAAAGCCAATCAATCAGACACGCTGCTATTTGATGCACAACCACAGACGCAACACTCTTTTAAGTCCCTTCAGCTGGTGACAAATCGCTGCCCCGTTCAGCAAACGAACATACACAGCTATGTGAATAACCTGAGCTATCCCCTTAGTAGCAAGTGGCACTGAACTGCGTTCTTTGGTGAATAGCATTAGCAACCGATGAATTCTGTGTGGAATTTATACAACAGCTTCAGAACCCCCATCAACATTGTTTTTTATCATCATCGTCAGCTGTAATAACTGCGTACTCGTCGTACAGTGGTTGTAGCTGCCGCAGTTTCGTTCACCGATGATTTGGGGAAGGGGGCTGCGTATTGGAGGCAGGAGCTGATAAATTGGCGCATAAACCCAACATTGTCAGTGGGCTGTCAAGTGGGGGGATTGGGAAGGAGGCTAAGCATTGAAGGTAATAGCTTGGATGCACGAGCGCCACTGAGGCCGCGACTGGGCCATATTTGACAATATCTCTAACCATTGATGTGGCCCGTCTCGGGGTCCCCATCCAGGAAGACGGCAGTGACCAGCGCAGCTGAGCTTGCTGGTAATGGCTTTCATACTTCGCTGCCAAGTCATTGGTTGACCGCCTAGGGCTCTCTTCCACCCTTCACGTGGTTGTGCGAAAAGAGCCCTTCGAGGAAGTCGGTCGACTGGCATAGGGGGCGAGACGGCCCAAGTGGTTAGAGCGCGAATTTACTGACCGCAGTGTGATCAGTTCAGCTATCGAGGCTGAGTTATTTCTCCCGAATACCATTCGACGTACTTCAGCATTGCCAATCCGGTGCTCTTCGGGCAATGCTCCGAAGACATCGATGGTTAAACACCGAGTTTTTCAACCGATCAGCATTTGACTGCCTGCAACTAGACATTCACACCGACCCAACATCAAGGCAGTCTGACATGAAGGACTGTGCGAATGCATTTAGGTGCTGCAGTGCCCAAGTCACGAAAAGTAAAGACGAAACAATAATAAAAATATTTATCGTTTGGATTCACATATAAACAACGATTGTATATACACAATAAATAACCCTCAAATCGTCAACAGTCAGAGTCCAGTTCAACGGGGCTTTGGAAGGAGTTACCGAAACTATCGCTATCCCGTCCCCGGTTCCTTTTCCTCTTCTTCTTGCGGTTGGACTCGGAGATGGCAGACGACGTGAACAATTCATTCTCAACTACATCCATCCCCACTTCTGTCGGGATTGCGAGCTGGTTCAGTTCCATTTTGAATTTGTTCTCCAAATCTGTGATGGATGGAACCGATTTTTGCCGGTTCACACGACCAAGGACTCGATTTATGGTGCGATCTAACTTGTGCTGGAAATGTAAGTCAGGCTCCAGTGCAGATCTTCTGACCACCGCGCTTGGATTCGTCTTTGGAGGTGACCCAGGTAATTGATTTAGCGGCTTCAAGGGGCTAAATGAACCTGAAAGGACAAAACGGTATTATTAACAGTTTAGAGTAGAGAGGAAATGTCATTAAGTCAAATGCGCTGTGCAAAATGGCAAAATACCGCTTCAGTGCAAGTCACTACCTAAGAAAACACCTAGGACTGTAGCCGTTCGAATGTTGGAGAATAAGGTTCAGCATTGAGGGGGCGAAAGTCAGAAACCGCTATTACTGGCCACTGAAGGCAATCTGTCGGCTGCATCTTTCTTGGTTTTACGTAACTTTGATTTGTTACGAAAAATTTGCCGGTGCTATCACCCGTCATTGCTGCAAGACTTGTACAGTCGCTAGGCGAACAGGAACTTCGAACGGCGCCGCAAGGTAGGTAGGGGTTTCAAAAATACTGAGAGAATGCCGTTTAATTAATGACTAGGCAATGCCCACCAACATCTCTTAAACCTAGTACCTTACTACGAGATCCTAGCTGAGTAAATGACGGTTGTTCATGTGACTGACTCCCGGTAGCGGTTTTGAAGCCTTGTCAGTATGATCGGAAGCAACACAGAAGGTATTGGTCTTCACGTTGTCTATGGACACTGAGAGAGACACTGAATCACCATTTGTGCAGTTCTGGCCACCCATCGTCAAGACTTGGCAGTGTATCCGAGACAATTCAAAGCTGATTAAACCTGTTAGAAGATGAGAGTAGTGCTTCAGGAACGTCATTTTTAACAAGAACGATCACCGCCGTCTGGCTCCAGATCCACACCACAGTTACAATATGCTGCGAAAAAAAACTGCTCCAGTCTAACTAATCCGAGAGATGACATCATTACCCCATGGAGACTGTTGGGGAAAATTTGTCGACGGAACCAATAGTGTATCTGCAAACGTGGGACTCGAGGTGAATCCCATCCAGTCTCGTTTCAAGACTTGCAGGTGTGAAATATACACCAGTTTTTTCATCCGGATCCTCGGGCAAATGCAGGCAAACACACTGAGGGAGAAGCGTTCCGACCTCAACCGTCCTGGACATCAACGGGTGTGTAAAACCCAGATGATTCTGTAGACTGTCGTGCATTTCAGGTATACCTACCACACAAAGTGACAGGAAGGCGCAGCCGATTCTAATTAGGTTCATCGAAGGTAATCTGAACTTTCGTCTGCAGTAAGGACAAAATAAGTAACGAGCAATGAGACGATCCAAAGATCTCAGATGTCAGTGACAACCAAAGAAGTCGAAAACAGTTCAACGGAGCGAATAATGGCGTAAGGAGCTTGACTTCGGTTCATAAAGGATATCCGCAGATTAGGAATTGACTACAATTCCCCAGGACTGAAATACCTTATTGCATAATAGCTCTCCTACCCAAGATGCAGATGATCCAGGAATATGAAAAATAAACCGTTCCAAGAGGGATCCGTTCCTGGATAGGGGGGAGACGATGTGTTCAATCTATTCAGAGCCCACAAATTAAGTGAAGTGCTAAGGTAATGTAGAATATCATAGACGAGATACGCAGTTGAGTCTCAAGTGAAAACCAAATTGATTTGCAACTGAGTGTATTTCTCGAAAAACAGTCCAATTTGAGTTCAAGTAGAACATAAGGTTGACGGAAACTGGGGGACCGCGCCTACCTGATGAGCCCCAAGAAGGGCGAAACCGGTCGTGGGCTGTCAAAGAGTTTTCAGCAACCTTGTGAGCAGTTTCTTTATTCTAAAGTAACTGTTTCCCCAGAGAATAACACTCATTCAACTCAATTGATGATGGAATATTCAAATCGTGTTTCCTAATTCATTAAGTAAGTGTCTACATCATCGCATTGAATGGAACACAAATTCTGCTGTGAGTCAACATTAAATCGCATATTGTTAAGTATTAGCTTAACAGAACGGCGACGCTTCTAACTTTCTACGCCTGGAAAGCTACGGAATCGATCCATTATAGCACCCAGTTCTGAAAGATCATTCACGTTGGCAAACAGTCGGCCATCATTTTATGTTGATCTCACGCCTGCAGTCGATCATTATGCCTTTGCAAACAGTAAGGGTTACGCAAGTCACTTACGACGCAAAACTCACCTCAGCGAAGACGTACCCAACGTTTGGTGAGGTAACAATTGGTTTGGAACATCACATCAAGGTTATTCGGTCTAGCTTTCAGTAACCCGTAATGTACGGAGGTCAGCCGTCACCAATAACCGAACACCACATCATTTGGATGGATGTGTCACGTGCGGGACACGGGCCAAACGAAGGCATGCTCTGATTGGTCAGAATGCCAGCCAATCCAAGTCAAGCACCTTTGGCTCGACGCTTCTCGCCCCCTTAAGGAGATTTTGGCACGACCTTGTGGAACACTCTGTGACTATCCTATAAATGCAGTTGTAATAATTTTCCTTTGTCTCCATAAAGAGCCGTGTGGAACTACCGTGCCTTTCGATATACCGTAGTGGGCGGAGCAGCAAGCCAAGGGATCGATACATAGTTGCACTACGGTTCACCAAGTCACAACACGTAGGTAATATGGCTGTTAGCTATGCCGCAACCATTAGACTCGTTCTACCCTAAACTACAAAATGACGAGAGCGTCTTGATAACTGAAGACCACGCGGGGAACTAATGAGTTTAGCTCTTCTCTAGTAAATAGCGCAGATGACGTCTCTAACGACGAAGAAATAATGCAAGACGATCCCCCTAGGTTCTAGGTTCTACAGGCTCATTTCCAAGTTGTCAGTTTGTATATACAGCTATTGGGGCGAGGTGTCTCAAGTGGTTAGAGCGCGAATTTACTGACCGCAAGTTCCGAGGTTCCCTTCCGACCTCTGCCTCTCGACTTCCCCCGTCTAGGCTTGGGCAACCTGGCAGTATCCCATCCCTCGTGCTTCCTTCGGATGGCACCAGAAGGGTGTTAGAGCTGAACGATTTTTTGTTTTATATACAGCTATTTTACATCAAATTCCATGAGAACGGCATTTCCTAAGGGAATCAGGAGCCAGTCAGCGCGTTCCCAAGCTCCCAGCGTGTGTTGGGGATTATAGAGTTTTGTTCGTCCAGAGTAAGTATCCAACCTTGGGGATCCTGTCGTTGGAGGGGCTACGGTAGCTGATGGATAAGCAGTGTACTCAAAGTCATGGTCACCTTCCGGCTTCTGTTCAACTGACACCTCTGGCTTCAGCTCACTATAGGTAGTAAGCTCATACTCTCGCTTTGGTGATCGACCGTGAAGTTCCTGCGAAAATCTACCGAGATAGCCAAGGAGGATGAAACTCCTGTGTGGCAGTGCAATAGGGAATCAAAGAAACCCTTTGTCAGCTCCAGTTGTCGCGGTATCGTGAAAAATAATATAATGAGGTTGCTAGGTTTTCAAGTATTAGCGTCCATTAGCATCTCCACATTTAAGAGAGTGGCGAAGAAAGATCAAGTTTAGAATAACACTTCTGGATCACTTCATAAATAATAATAGTAGTAGTAATAATACTAACGGTCCATCTGTGGCACGAGGGCCCAGATGCTGCCAAGTTTGCAAGCAACAATCAGAATGCTTGGGGTCGAACCACGGACATTCCAGTTTGTGCCTTAACCACTGGGCCATTTCGAGGTCAGCCCGTAATTAGACATGACCGCCAGCGGAACGCCAGAAGTTATCCACTGGGAGCAACAGTATGACATGTATGCATTGTTCTCTCACTCACAGGTTGGAGCACCTCCCCATTGTCGACTGGGTTCAAGTTTTGGATAAAGCCCAGGCAAAGCCTCCCGGACTCTTTAACACTCACCATTCGGTCAAAGGTTCAACATGAAGCCACCTAAAAAAACATTTCCGGTCTAGTGGGACCGGAGTTTCTTTCTGCTTTGCAGCTCCGAAGATACTCACAAACCCCTCCCTTTCACTGGCTTGACAGCTGGGAACTACCCAAAAAATCCAAAAGAACTCTAGCTCGATTATGCTATACTTTCAAGGTCCACTCTACGTCCGATTGACCAAAAAGTATCCCTTGGTCAAACTCTGCTTTTTTCCTTAATTCTATGTATATCATGTCCTACGATACATCCAGGCTCCTCGATATCAAACTATCGTGCACATAACTTGAACTAGGAAGTCGCGGATGAACAGGAGTTCTTATACCAGAATTTCGGACTGAATTCTACTAAGCATAACATTGTACGGAAATGTGAAAGCAGACCTACTGATCTGAATTGTATCTTCCAAGAAAAACGAACTACTACAAGCGTTTAAAAAATAATCGACCAATTCGGTATTTCGCTGCCATGGGGAGCGAGATAACTCAAGTGGTTAGAGCGCGAATTTGCTGACCAGAAAATCCGTGGTTCGAACCCGACCTCTGCCTCTCGATTTCCCCTGTCTAGGCTTGGGCAACCTGGCAGTATCCCAGCTCTCGTGCTTCGTTCGGGTGGCATGGCACCGGAAGGGTGTTAGAATTGAATAATTTATTTATTTTTATTTCGCTACCATGCCACCCGGAGGAAGCGCGAGGGTTGAAATAAAGCCAAGTCGCGTAGGCCTATAGAGGAGTAATCAAGATACAGAGCTTGGGTTCGGACCACACAAGTACGTGCCCTAACTACTGACCTGTCTCAAGTACTTCGAAAGTTAGCTCATGTTGTGGAAGCGCGGCGTGCTGCATTGAAGCCTTCGCGTCGGATGTAGCTCTTTGCACTTGTCCATTATTACGAAATCCGGACTACATCAAGAAAGGAAAACTACTGTCCGACAATCGTAGGGCCGTCCCTTTTAATCTGACCTGTTTTCTCTTTTTGATAGGTGGAAATAAGGTAAATTCGGGTGAAATACACGAGTGCTGCCATGTGTATTTCCAGTAGGACGTCCTCTAGTTTTCTTAAAAAATAGCGACCAATAAACTACAAAGTCCAACATTATTGATAAACCAGTAATCCCGGAAGTGGTATAGTCCCCGCGAAACAGCTAGTAGCGAGAAACTGATAGTAACGAAGAATGAACAGAACAATATAGCATGTAACGATGAATTGAAACTCACTGGGAACCTCCAAGGATGTTGTATCTGGTTTTATGCGCTTCCTCACGGTAGAACTGATCCGTGGTACAGGTTTCTTGGGGGCAGTGAGGGCTTCCAGAGAAGAGCCAATGTGTTCTAGTTTTTGAGCGAATTCACGAAGAGTATCCTCGAGGTGGGAGCGCTCAGGTTCAGATTCTGATGGAAAACAGAACACGGGGTATCGAAGAGGTTATGACGTGGGTAGCGAACGTTTGTATTTGGACGCAGCATTGGATCTAATGCTTTAGCACTAGGAGGCAAGGCACTAAAATAAAATAAGCTAGTATTTTCGGAATCTTGCAAAATCCAGAAAGCTGTCAGCTAACTGAAGTCTCATGACTTCCCCACTTTGGTGTTTCCGTTCAGGAAAAGGATGGGAACGGGCGCTTGAATTGGTCCTGATGCTATCGAGAAAGATGCTAGTTACCCATAGACAACTCATATGAATTTTGATCAAACTTTAATGCTCATAATGCCGTAGCATATTGCTCGTCAAAAATATACCTTCTACATGCATGTGAAGGCCCGCTGCAAGTTCGAATGAAGAACTGAAAACAGTTCTGGTTAAGTGATCCATTCACTGAGGAACAGCTGCGATCGAAGTGCTTGATTTGATCCATTCACTGAGGAACAGCTGCGATCCTTCCACGTCAGATAGTATGCACCATTAGATATGGCAGGTCCACCATAGGCTCCTGGTAATCTGTCCGTGATACGCTAGTGAACCGAATTCGTCGTCGTTGTCATCAGATGTTGGAACCGCGTGGTTCCACCTGCCGAAGTTTCATTCGTCGCCGCACACAGTAAGGACTGGTCTTCTGGCGAGAATGATAACAGTAATGTTCCACAGCGATTTCGAAAAAATTGGGCAGATGACGTCCCAAATAGAAGAACCTGGCTCATTGACTCGGTTATACCGGATAGCCAAGCCAGATTGGGAAGCCTGAGATATTGGAGCTCAAAACTAATCCAAAGATGTTTACGATAGGACAACTAGCTATTTATCAGCTATTAAGAATGTAGAAGTCCCGCATATAAGATAATATCCGCAGGGTTGGACACACACGTAGAGCAGATCAACCTAGAGGGAGCTGCAGTCCACAAGTGTAGTGCCAAATGCCATCACGGGTTTGAGCTGAGGTCATCATTGTCAGGGACAGCACGTCAGAATGGGAACAGTTTTCCCTTGCCATTCATGAGATGCCAAATGCTTAGCACAACAGAGTTTCCCGTCCACATAGAACAGGAACCAAATTAATCCTGACTGGTATACCAACTAATTACAAATGAAACCAAGTAGGAATAAACACAGTACTTACTGGAAGGAGTTGACTTCAACACGTCCTGTCGACTGGAACAATAAACACGTGAAGAACATTGATCAGAACTACGACGACCCGAGAGACGATAACAAAACAAAATAAGGACAGTAACGCATATGGGGAGGGGGGTGCGAATGAACTCAACAGAATTTGGAGGGTTCAACACTGAAAGCGAAGACAGCGAGGGATAAACTAATCAGTGGTCAGACGAGTAGAGATACAGTGCGTCACAGTTCAACATGACGAAATCAAGTATAACCTAGGATATAACCAAAACCATGTCCTCAGCAGCCTTTTCTGTTTCCGGGTCACCTGAAACTTCTTAATCACGAAATTGTCAGCAGTGAAACTTTAGACGCTAAAGTCGTTCACCTATCAGTGGCAATGCTGTGGCTTGCTGAACGGTCGTGCAACTCTGTATCGGTCCCTTGGCTTCCTGCTGCACCCACTATGGTATATCAAAGGGCAAGGTAACTTCAGACAGCCGTTTATGGAGACAAAGGAAAACCATCACATCTGTATTTATAGGGTGATCACAGAATGCTCCACAAGGTCGTGCTAGGATATCCGTGAGGGGATGAGAAATGTCGAGCTAAAGATACTCGATCCGGATCGGCCGACATTCTGACCAATCAGGGTATGCCTTCGTTTGGTCCGTAGACTGCACGTGACACGTCCGTCCAAATGATGTGATGTTCGGTCATTAGGGTGGGATCACAAACAGCGTTGACTACTAGGGACTGAATTCCTGCTATCAGCATACAACCAAATTGAGGAATCAAGTAGGCCTCAAGCCCTCTTTTAAACGACCATCAACCGGCTTAGTGTGATGAGACCCCGAGTCTTTTGAAGCTCTTTAGGCTTTGGTCCCTCATTAATGGTTCTACATTATTAGAAAAAAATCATTCAGTTGTAACACCGTTCCAGTGGAGCAGTCGAGATGCAGAGTTTGGGTTCGAACCACGAACCTTACTGTCAGTAATCACTGATCTATCTCGAGCTCGCTTCTCCATCAACATCCCATTTGATTGCAAATCAGTACAATACAGCTAAAGTTCAGGTGTGATATTGTTGGGGATGTCAGTACCCCCAAAAACCGTTTATTTTTCGAGTTGTTGCCAATGTGCCAAACACTATTCTGAACATTCAAGTATTCTTTATTGGTAGTAAGTTACCCACCGTCCGGAAAAGCATCATTACTCCCAACCTCTGGGAGTTTAACACATCAAACCAACAACTCGACCGCACCCTTGACGTGGTTGTTGGGTTTGAGTGCTGCAATGATCCCGTGGATTACACTAACCCGAAACTCATTCCGCAAGGTGCAAGCAACCACACCAGGAAGGTACCATGTTGTGCCCACACCTCCAACACTCGGTCAGATGATCTGGATAGAAACCGAAAGCATCCATCAGCGACATTGACATCAGTTAGCCACCATAACGTTCAGTGTCCCCAGTCAAGCACAATCAAGGTCACGAGAATGAACTGTGCAACTAGGTCACGTGGATCCCAATGTGGAGGATGGACAGAATCCAAGGCACCCAGATTTTTTGTGCGCGAGCTACGGCTGACACCTTGTCGTCACGGTCGGGCTTCTGTGCTGCAATGATCCTGAGGGCTAGAACACAGTTCCTAAAGCTGAAGTCAAGCAAAGAAGGCCCATGGGTAGCAGCCCGACAAAGAACGGCGGGTTCCCTAACTGCGAGTAATCGCATTACGAGGCTGTCTGGAGGTAAATTCATACTGCCATGTGCGATGGGTGTGAAGTCAGCAAGGCGACTTCTAACAGGCGACCAGCACGTCCACATTCATGGAGGCAACGATGACGCCTTCCCTCGAAGAAAGTGGGGATAGAAAACGTCGGCCCTAAAAACCATGCACTCTGATAACTTAACGGTTGACGATGACAGCGCATTCCTGAATACGCTCAAAATACTTTTAAACCAAACAGTCTGGTGTTGCTAAAAAAAGCATCTGTTGTGCACAGTCGCATCAGGACTGAAACGGTGATGCTTTGCTCCCTGTGACCTCGGGATAGGGCAGTCCCATTCAGCCGAGGTCAGCAGGCTCCCGGCACGGTCCCTAAAGAAAACCCTACTGCCCGTTGGTACATGGGTCAGAGTTTTTAGTCATAGGTTAACCGCAGGGTCGCTGAACAAAACCCTACATCCTCCCACCGCCTTGTGGGTCAGACTTTTGAGTCAAAGGGTTAAAATGAAGTACCTGAACCAAACCCCCTTCCTCGGCCTGAGCAACCGGAAAGTATCATCTGCCCACACAGTTATTTGTCCACCGATGTCCCTCCCACGCCTCTTTCGGCCACACATTCAAACGTCATTTGATTGTCCATTATCCTACCAATGTGCTTTATGCACCCCGCTGCCTATTAACAATAAACAAAGCAGCACCTTAATAATCCACAAGATGCTTTCTACAAAGGAGCTTTTAACGCCCGTACCGTATGTGAAGTTGGCAGACAGGCTATTCTTGCTGGAACCTTATGCTCCCTAAAAACTGATCTATGCTGTGTCTCTGAAACACGAACACAAGCCCCAAGAATGGTTATGCTTCTCAGAACGCCATGGACGAACTCAAGTCTTGCAAATTTCTCCCTGTGTCCGGTGATCCAGAAGCGATGACATGTGGAATATATGGCGTGGGAGATGCCCTCAGCCCCGGAGCTGAACTCGCTCTGCTCGATTGGATCCCAGTGAAAAGACGTCCTTGCGCCGTCCGGTTATCCAGCTCAATCAAGCTCAATGCCTCTCGATGAAAAGGCGGTGCCTGTTGGTAGTGTCGGCTTAGGCCTCAACGCACTGCAGTCCTGACGCTCAGAAGGATACCTTCTATCGTGAGTTATCCGGGCTCATTTTTCAAGCAAGAAGCACCGACGGTTGTGGGGCTATTCGAATGTCCAGTTCGGTCGTCTATGCTCCTTGGAATCACACTTGGGCGGTCGATCCGGAGTAGGTGCTCATCGCACAGACAACGGAGAGCGACTCCTCCAATTGTATGCTGATCATCAACTGTTTTTGGTCAGTACAATCTTTTAGCATAAACGCTCGCATCGTGTAACATGAGGGCCACCAAATGAAAATCAACCATGGACCCATTTGGATCACATGGCCACCAACTATCGGTGGAGAGCCACAATCCAAGACTGCCGTTCCTTCTGAAACACAACTTTATTCCGATCAGGCCACGTTGCGTACACGCCTGACAGTTCATTTCCCCTCAGGTCCTCGCAAGTCAGCAAAAAGCATGTCAATCGACCATTTTCAAAGAACTACCATAGCTAAACACTATTGATCTGAGCCAACCCAACAACTCTCCAAACTAAACCAATACTGTACTAGAGATGAGCACGTGGAGGAAAGGTGGCAAAATGTGAAAGGAGCTATGCAAGCGGCGTTCAGTGCTGCCTGTCCGACTTCTGCGATTCGACCACAAGGTCACTGGATGTCGTCAAAATCGCTATCCATCACTGATGCCAAGAAATCCATGCCAGCAGGTAACGAGTAGGACGGCGCAGGCAAATCCCTTAAACGCCAAATAGTGCAGAGCTTAAGGAAAGATAGAGTTCTGGTAGGAAGATCGAAAGCTTCGGAAATGAAAAAGGTTTTTGCTATCGGAAACAGCCGTGCCCCATACCCTCGGATACGATCGACTGGCCCTAGAAAGGCAGTGGTCAGTGAAACGATAAGTGAAAAAGGCGGATCATTAATTCACTCGCGAAAACCAAAGGTACCCTGAGATTTTATGTTTCAAAGGCTGACTGAACACAGGAAGAGACATATCGCTGAAAAAACAGGCTGGGTTCGGTCCTACAAGAAGATGCACCAATCACATTTTCATCCTCCGTCAGATTCTGGGACAGCAACACTGCTTCCAGCAACCAACAGTGAGGGTCTTTCTTAACTTCCAATCTGCCTGACTATCAGGCACTATGACCGTTTATGGAGCGGAAGCGCCCTCTAATAAATTCTTGACCCTCTTTAAGGTTTAGTACGCGTAGGTGTGAAAATATGCAGGAAGTTCTCGTCTGAGTTCACCACACCAAGTGGTTTCAAGCAAGGCTGTCCTCTTTCACATTTCCTCTCAAACTTTGTCACCGATATGATTAAGGAACACTCACTCACAGCCTGTTATGTCTGTGGAGTCAAAACGCTGCCACAGCGCTCACTCGTCTACCTGGGCCGCTGTATTACTCCCGGTGGTCTAGTCAAAGATGACATTCTCATCCGGACTGGGAACGCTAGAGCGGCTTTTGTGAGCCTGCATCATCTGTGACCTAGGCAGGACATCAGTCTATCCGTCAGTTGTCGAGTGTACAACATAGTATTATACGGGTCATAAAATTAGTCGCTGCGCGCTGAGGACGTCAAAAAATTTGTGTTTGACAATCAATGTCTGGATCATTACCCGAGTCTGGTGGGAACGTCGGATAGGCACTGCTGAAATACGTCGAGTGGTTTACGGAAGAGATAATTCGTCCATAATAGATGAACTGACTACGCTCCATAGGTTGCGCTGGTTTGGCCACGTGCTCCCTATGCCAGTTGACCGACTTTGTTGAAGGGATCTTTTTGCGCAACCACGCGAAGGGTGGAAACGGGTCAGGAGGTCAAACCACGGTTTGCAAGCGGAGCATTATAAACCATTACCAACAAACTCGACTGTGCTGGTCATTGCCGTCCCCTTGGATGGGAACGCCGAGAAGCGAAACGTCAATGAATTGTCGGACATGGCCCAGCTGCGCCCTAAGTGGCCGGAATGCATCCAAGCTGTTGCCTTCCATACATAGCTGCCGCCCCGACCTCCCCAACGAGAAGTCTACTGACACCCCCGTATACATGCATCAATTATATCAGCTACTGCCTCTATCCCACCTCATCAAATAATCAGTGAACGAAACCGTGGCAGCTATAACCACTGCACGGCAAGCATGCGGTCTTACAGCTGATGATGAGTTGAATAAACTCAGGTTGTTAATGTACTGGTGAAGATGAACCAGGTAAACATTAATCATGGTTAAAACAGGTGCACTTCGTCTTAGGTCAGGTCATCATACTGAGGCTTGCTTGAGTCAGCTAGAAGCAAATATTATACATTCACTCCTGTGAGCGAGCGTATTTACATGCCAAAACTAACGTGCGAAGAGTTGTTCTTCACATGTTGCGACCTAACCGCTGAGTGGATACACAAATGATTGGACCTCCACGCCTAATCTACGAGCTGTCAGGCTTGGGCAACCTGGCAGTATTCCAGCCCTTGTGCCTCCTTCGTGGGGTATGGTACTAGCGGCATGATTGAGCCAGTTTCGTTACCCATTGATGAGATGAGTTACGGGGTGCCCATCCAGGGTAGTAGCAGCTGTCGACCCGAATGAGTTCACTGGTTAGTGCTTCCATACTTCGTACACGATCTTCCTTTTGATCAGAGCAAAGAGAGCTCTACGAGGCAGACGGTCTTTGGCATGCGGAATACACATCCTAACCAGGGTAACCTATGAAGCAAGTAGATTGTGCATCATGGGGGAGTTCCTTTTTCCAAAAAACATCTCGTGTACTTCAGCATTGATAATCCAACGTTCCCACCAGACCTGGCCAACGCTTCCGAGATACGGACGACCAAACACTGATAAATTTCGTATGTCCTAGGCTCGTAGGGACCATTTTTCCGGTCCAAAAAGCAGCACGGATGGCATTGCCACAGTGTATTTTCCGCTCTTGATAGACAAACGAATGTCAATCCGGCATCAAACGTATCCGAGGTGCGCAAAAGCTGAACTTGCAGCTTCCTGATTCGAGAAGTAACCTCGTCTCCAGCCAGTCCACCGAAACCTACAGAACTGCCCAGGTAAACAAAACTATCTAGCACATTGTTTGGCTAGTCCGCAATAATGAGGTTCGGGTCTGAACCCACCCAACCTGGCAGCAGCTGTTCACATTTTACAAACTCGAAGCACCTATAGGACCGCTTAGCAGAATTATTTGGGCCATTCAAATTAGTTTGCACTTCCAAATGGTCTGACCCAAGAAGAGCAATATCGTCGGTATACTCAATCTTCGTGGGCACATGTCCCAGGGGTATTTTGATCTCGAGGTGGTAGGGGCAGGTCAAAAAGATGCAAGCAGCACATTGGTTGGCCTATTCGAGCAGCGGAACTGAGACGTCTTCAGGTGTTCGACAATCGTTGCCTCAGAACCATAGCTCGTGCGGGTAGGTGTCGGCGAATCCGTAACGAGGCAGTTAGAAAGCGTGTTTTCGGTTGTGTAACGGGTACTTCCATTGAAGAATGTGTCCAGCACCAGAAGCTGGGTTGGTTGGACATGTTGCGTATGCCGAAAAGAGTGCTGTTTTCCATGCCCAACTCAGAGTGGCGTAAACAGAGAGGTGGCCAACCCTTGACTTGGCAGAAGAGTATGAAGGAGATCACGAAACGCTTGGATGCTGTCGGTGCTACTCGCCTTCCAGGGTGGGGACCGCGTGATCCTCAGTGCCTGGTTGGAGACACTACAAGATACGACTGTCAACCGATGTCAGTAGCGTTCTTGTTGTCAGTTTCTATCCAGATTGCCTGAGTGAATGTCTGGAGGTGTAGGCACCTCGGAATGATTGTGTTAAGCTAGCACTAAGTCCCTCCCCCATCCACCTTTATTCTTTTCTTCACAATAAGGCTTTCAAATAAGTCATGGTTGTACGGCAGTGAAGCATCGGTGTTGAACACCGATGTCATGCTGTCGATGATGATGATTCTTCAAGCTGCTGATTATCCGGTGTTTGCCACCATAGTCGCTAGTTGCTAGTACGGCCTCTCTAGATTTGCCAACCGCGAAAAACAATCACTGTTGATAATCGGAAGGAGTGACAGCACTCGTCACAGCACTCGTCGCGAAGTGAAGGTAGAATCGAAAAAATCCCAGATAGGGTGAAGTCCAGCCTGATTCTCGCGAATCTGGCTGTCCCGATGATGAATCAATCTGCGTATCAGAGAACAAGTTAGAATCCAAGGTTACTAGGCTTATGTCCGATGCCCCATGTGTTACACTTGTCGAGTTATTGCCTTGCGAGAGAAACGTTATTTTCCGTGGTTAATCCAGAATGGCCTAAATCTAGATGTGAACTAATTATGACATGGTAGAAGGGTATGAAAGCTGATACCAAATGTTTGGGCGCTGTTTGCCCTTCGGGGTGGGGGCACCCATGTTTGCTGCGAAAGAGTGGTGTTCATGCTGTCAGTTGCTATCCGGAATGTCTGGCTGAGTGTTGGAGGTGTGGACATTTCGGATATTTATAGTAGGCTGGCTGTAGGTCCCTCTCTCCGTTGCACTTTCCTATTTTCCATTACGGAGCCTTATTTAGACAAACTGGCATGGTTGTACAGTAGTGGGGAACCGGGGTTCTTCCCTGAAGTTACTGCCAATGACGATGATGATGCGAATTAACCCCGGAACTTCCTTGATCCTGTGGATTAATGACGTCGGGACATCCTTTGTTGCGTGCACACGTCATGGCAGGATTACCTCCTAGGGACCCGAAGATGCTCTCGAATGTCGACGATGTATTTAATACGGTTTAAGAAGCTAACGTTTGAGTGGTTCTATTTTATTGCCAAAACTGAAAAGCGCCGCTTAACACCAGGGTTGATGCTTCAGTCATGGGTGGGGCTTTCTAACACTGCTTCAGTAGTACTAGACGCGCTCAAGCTTCCTGATGCTGCAGTACACTACATTTCCGGTCGCAGACGCGTCGCCATCTACCTATCTGTCTGACATTTGCAAACCGCTGGGGGGTAGGTCATTCGGGACACTCAAGGACCGTTTTCTGACCGTGCAGTTCTTTGTCCGATCGCGGAACACTCGTTTACCACGAGGTACAACAACTGGACTTAGCGTCACAGTTTGCCAATAACATCAGGCCATCGCATAAGTCTTATCACACGTCAATTCAGAAGGTGGTCAATCACAACCTGCCCGAAACAAATAACAATACTGAAACATGGGAGTCAATGATTGACCTGACACTACAATCCACGTTTCTTCGCGTACATCCCATGCCATGCCTGAGCAACATAGGCACGATACACGGCATCGCTAGTGGTGGTGACAGCGTAACCCAACGCTTAATGTTTCGAGAGGTTCGTTACAACCCGACATTCATGCATACGACCGGCCTAATGTCAACCACGGGATTCATCGATAGGCCCACAGTCGTTTCCTCTTCCAATGTCCTAGGATTCAGCGCACGATCAACCCCTTGGGTACCTTCAGGACGCCCGACGTCCAATTTAGCCGCAGAGATGTTGTTCGACCCCTGTCGTTTTTAGAGGACTTCATGCGCAATCGTTGTTTCCCAAAAGTTCTTACGGTGCCCTCATGGCTATCCGACGACCGGATATTTTCCCACAGCACCGCCCTCCACTCAAATTTGCCTTGCGTGTGGTTTTTTCTGCAGGTGCCTGACCTAGTCCATACACAGTTCAAACCACGTCTATTTCCGGATACTTTACGATGTACCTAGGTTTATCGTAACCAAATCTTCTTACAATTTTCCTGAAAAGGCCATCATGATCGCCAAATACTCGCAAGACCATTGAGTTCATACTTTGCTGTTTTGATGGGCGCTGGTCTAAAAAACTGTGGAACCTCACTGAACCTACCAATCTTCCGTTCTCCGCACTAAAAGATGTACGAAGGGCAGCTGGTAGACTTCATGTTGTCCGTTGGCACCTGGCAGTCTGGCAAACAACAGATCGAGCGGCCCAGGATCCTTCTTCGCTATAATTTTGAAGGGCGAATCTTCCAGCTCCCCTGAAGCCGTCAGCTGTTGTAGATTTCTGTCTACACTATCATGCCCACGATCCATTTTCTTCATCACACGCTTCATAAGCTTTGAGAAATGTGGAAGCCGTAGATCAAGTAGCGGAACGGCATCCCGACAGTCTGGAGGAATTTCTAAATACATCAATAAAGATGATTCCGAATGCATTGTTCGAGAAGGTGATGTAGCAGCACTCAACATTCACAAGAATGTAGTCACGGTGCACACCAGTTCTGAAGTGAGCAGATATGGAAATTGGTATTAGTGGAGTCACACAGCACACATTAACAGAGTTGGGTAATGCAGAACAGAATACGGGAGGGAAGCAACAATGTGTGGGTATTGAGACGGAAATGGCAGACCCAAGTCGAGTGAGGTACAAAAATAGCTCTACGTCACTCCAGGGGGTGTACAAGTGGGTCATTGTGGTCACTAGAAAATAAACCGTTTTTGGGGATACTGACATCCCAAACACCTCCCCTTGAGGGGGAAAAGGTCAGTAACGGGCTTTTCTGGGGTCCATTTGAAAAGGAGTGGTTTGGCGTCGACGGCGACCTGTCCATCTTCTTGGTGAAAGGTTTAGTTCACTGGTTGATGCGTTCTGTGTCGCCGGCTGCGTTACATCAGGTGTGGTCGCCTTCAGTTCAAGTGTCCAGAAGTATGTCGAGTGGAAGGTCGCTCTGGGATGCTGGTGGCTCTGATAGATGGCATGGACTCAGTTGATTCTTCTGTCGGGTCCAGATGTCTAGGCCAACAGAGACGTAATACATTATGCTGCCGCGTTTTCGTAAGACGTGTCCTTCGATCCAGCGTTCGTGCCTTGGTCAATAATCCCGCGCAGAAACACTTGCACCCACTTGAAACTGGACTGGCTTTGTGTTCACGTTGGGCTGGGAACGAGCTGTCGGTGCTGGAGACATTGCCGAATTGATGGTTCGCAATTTGCGGCCCGTGAGCGCTTCAGCGGGTGATTTCCAATCTTCCAGAGAGTAATTTGTAGTCCGATAGACCAAAAGAAATCTCTAATATAATAATAATACGTTCAGCTGTAGCACCTTTTCGGTGCCTAGCTTCCATGCCACCCGAAGGAAGCACGAGGGCTGGGATACTGCCAGGTTGCCCAAGCCTAGACAGGGTAAGTCGAGAGGCATAGGTCGGGTTCGAACCACGGACCTTCCAGTGAACAAATTCGCGCCCTAACCACTGAGACATCTCGCCCCCAAAGAAATCTCTGAAGGAATTCAACGGGCGTCCCCTCCCCTCGAGATTTGAGCAGCGCCCGCTTGAACGTATAGACAAAACGTTCTGCCTGACCGTTTCCCGACCTAAAGCTGCCACCTCGACGTGGTGGTGGGGCTTGAGTGCTGCAATGATCCCGCGGGCTACACTGGCTGGAACTTCGTTTCACAAGGTACAACCATGCAAGGAAGACCGAATGGGAACAATCAGAACAAGAGCAGCGAGACCCCGTGCTACGGGTAAATGTGCTACGAGGCGGCTTGGGCTACTGTGATAGAAGTGTGAAGTCAGTAGGGTGTTTCCCCCAGGCGACCAGTACGTTCCTATTTATGGAAGCAGCGATGCTGCCTTCCCCCGAGGAAGGATGGGTTAGAAAAGGTCGGTCCCAAAAACCGCACACTGCGATCGCCCGACGGTTGACTGTGACCGCCGGCGCATTATCCAATACGGTCGAAATACTTTCAAAACCAAAGGGCCCGGTGCTGTTCAAAAGGCACCTGCTGTGCGGAGCCGCATCAGGAATGAGACAGTGATGCCTTATTCGCTGCGCCCTCGGGTTAGGCCAACCCCCTGCAGCCGAGCAGGTCAGACT